GACGCGGAATAGGGACACATGTTGGGGACAGGGACACAGGATGGGGACAGTGGTGGCAGGGAAGTGGGATGGGGACAAGGACAGGGATGTAGGATGGGGAGAGTGGGGACAGGGATGGGGGACGGGGACAGGGACAGGGAATGGTGACACAGGTTGGGGACAGGGACATGGGATGGGGACAGGGATGGGGGACAGGGATGTGGGATGGGGACAGCGGGGACAGGGGACAGTGATTTAGGATGGGGACAGGGAATGGTGACACATGTTGGGGACAGGGATTGGGGACAGGGGGATGGGGACATTGGGGACAAAGATGTAGGACAGGGGTGTGGGATGGGGACAGGGACGCGGAATAGGGACACATGTTGGGGACAGGGACACAGGATGGGGACAGTGGTGGCAGGGAAGTGGGATGGGGACAAGGACAGGGATGTAGGATGGGGAGAGTGGGGACAGGGATGGGGGACGGGGACAGGGACAGGGAATGGTGACACAGGTTGGGGACAGGGACATGGGATGGGGACAGGGATGGGGGACAGGGATGTGGGATGGGGACAGCGGGGACAGGGGACAGTGATTTAGGATGGGGACAGGGAATGGTGACACATGTTGGGGACAGGGATTGGGGACAGGGACAGGGGATGGGGACACAGGTTGAGGACAGGGACACGGGATGGGGACAGGGATGGGGGACGGGGATGTGGGATGGGGACAGGGACACAGGATGGGGACAGCGGGGACAGGGACATGGGATGGGGACACAGGTTGGGGACAGGGACATGGGATGGGGACAGGGACGTGGGATGGGGACAGGGACACGAGATGGGGACACATGTTGGGGACAGGGATGGGAACAAGGACACGGGATGGGGACATGGGATGGGGACATTGGGGACAAAGATGTAGGACAGGGGTGTGGGATGGGGACGGGACAGTGATTTAGGATGGGGACAGGGACATGGGATGGGGACAGCAGGGACAGGGATGGGGGACAGGGATGTAGGATGGGGACAGTGGGGACAGGGATTGGGGACAGGGACACGGGATGGGGACAGGGATGGAGGACGGGGATGTGGGATGGGGACAGGGACATGGGATGGGGACATTGGGGACAAAGATGTGCCCATACAGAGATGTGGGATGGGGACAGCGGGGACAGGGATGGGGGACAGTGATTTAGGATGGGGACAGGGACATGGGATGGGGACACAGGTTGGGGACAGGGACATGGGATGGGGATGTGGGATGGGGACAGCGGGGACAGGGATTGGGGACAGGGATGTAGGAGGGGGACAG